ATTTATAACACATTGTTAGAAAAGACAAAATTCATTACATAATTGGTTTTTGTTGTTATGTTTTACTTTTTCCATCTGTTAGTCTCCATGAAGTTGCAACACAGTTTTGGCATAAGCAGTTCCCGTCACGATGTATTCATCTTTCCTCATATTTTGGTGAAACATCTGGAGTTGTTATGCATCTCTCAGCAGAGCAAATACTACCCAAATTTTCGACCTTAGAAGAATGAAGAAACTTGACACTGGATGATGCTTTGACAAGGGTACAATGTTCTGCATCATCACAACAACAACAAAGTCTTCGTTTCGCAACATAACTGAGATCTACACTGTTTAACTTCAATGTCAAAAGAAATTCAGAGACTAATTTATATAATTATCATCCAAGATATTTTAAGAAGTACTAGGAATAACAAAATAATACACAATAAATATACCTAGGCATAATGCCGAGAATTACAGAGGCTATTTTGGGGAGTATTTTAAAATACTTTAAGAGTTTGCAGAAACATCAGTTTTTTCCTCAAGGCCAAAGACTTGCTTTTCGCTGAAAAGCAGTGTGTTAGTTGGTTTTGCTTATGACTTAATTGTTTATGGTTACTTTGTTATTCAACTTTGTTAATAGCAGATTATTGTGAAAGCATTTGAGTCTGCACTTCAATAATTTCAAGTGAAGAAAAAAATTAATCTTATTTAGAACCATCCCTTAAGAGCTGTGTCAATATTCAAAGTTGCTAAATATGACTGTTCTACTTCACTTGGTCATATAAAATATGTTTTGTTGGCTCTATGAAAACATGCGATATAAAAGAGAAATTTCTATCCTTAATGCAGGAGAAAAAACAAAGATTTCCTGAGTGAAATGGCAAAGCATATTCTGACCTGAGGTGTCTGTAAAAAGCCTCTCCTGTATCTGAAAACTAAATCCAGAATTTAGTGTACCAAGTGGTATCTGAAGCCAAAAGAAAAATACAGTAAGTTCATGCCAAAAGCACAAGTTTATGATTAGAGACTATTAGCGGGTTCTTGTGACATAACATACAAAACAGTTATAGGGAAAAGATCCACTGACTAGGGAACAAGAAAACAGGGCTCAGTTCTGGGAATGCCCATGCAAATCTTCCCATCAAGGCTGATAAGCATGTGAACTGTCCATACAGATTTAGTGAGGGAATAATATTTCTTGTTCTTCCAAAAGTTCTAAAATCCATTAATGCCTCGAAGATAAGGACCATACAGAGATATAGTTATTCTTAAGCAGGGTTTCTCCAAGGCTGTTATTGCTATGCCTCATCTTTACAACCATTGACCATGACTTTTTAATAGAAAGTTTCTTTCTGAATCCGAGGTCTCATGGTCATTCCTCTTTGTTGATGTAACTTGGGGTTAATTACAGCAACACTCAGCTGTGCCTGGGGGAAAACAAGAGACAAGTAGTCTAAAACTTTATCAGCAACTGCTCTTATCCTTCCCATCTGCCAAGTTCCCTCCACAATTTCTAAGAAATATTTAGGGCAATAGAAAATGCATTGTTTGGCAGGAATAGCACCAGGAGCCAGCCCAGGGTCTGCAGCCTCAACTGGGAATGCAGCAGGACATAAATACTGTCCCCCAGTGAAAGAAAAAGAGGGCACAACAGTGGTGCAACTGGTGTGTGGTTTAAGTCTAGCAGGCTGGCAGACAGGGTAGGAGGGAGTACCTGAAATTTGTAAGTTCCCGTGCTAAGGATGCTCATTCTCTCATTTCTCACCTAAAACACATCTTCTACCAGCATGCACACTGTACAAGCGGTTTATGCTAGCTCTCCATTCCAGGTATTTAGAGGTTCTCTGCTGCTCTGTGACCGCTCCTGCCTTCTTTTTTACCACTTGCTTGACTGATGTCACAGCGGTGGTCCAACGAAGGCAGTATTTCTGCAAGTGGTCTGCAGAGAGCTGCTGTTTCAGCTCTCTGCACTGCTCTGGTACCAAAATGCTGTGCAGTTTGTAAATCCTCTTGCCTACACAACTTCCCTTCAGTTCATGCCAGTGACTCATGAGTTAGTGCTCAGCACTGCACCCTCTAGTCGTCCTCAACAGAAAAGGATGGTGATATTCATCCTCCCCAGACCCCATTCCCACAATTTTTGTAATTCCTAGGAGGCATTCACAAAATTAGAGTTTTAAAGGAAAGTGAGCTATAATTCAAATAGTATAGATCTGTATAGACACAGTAATTAACAAGGAAAATATATGAGCCTGGAACAGAGAGCCTAGATGTACCTAATGCAAACACTATTAAACTTACATCACTACATGCCAAGCAAACAGACTAGACTGATAACATTAGTCTTGCTGTACCAGTTTGAAAGGTTATTGCTCTCACTGGATTTTACTTTATTGGGCCAGCATCCCAATAAAGAATCCCTACTGATTTTCAGGAATTGAGTTCTATCTCTTTTGCACCGAAAGCACCAGTACAGTCACCATGAGGAAACTGTACTTGCAACAGTTCTACTAACAAAGCTTATATAGTCCTAAAAATGGGAAGAGCAAAGCAAGAATCAAACTCTTGCATGCCAAGCCATTAAACCTGATATGAATCAACTCCGACCTAAGTTAATTCCTTCCATACTGCTTTTCTGAGATGCATCGCTAGAAAAAGATATTGTCACTTAATGGCCAGACAAAAGTCTTGCATGTGGTATAAAAACAACAGTAAAAACACAAAAAAAAAACTAGCAAGTGAAAAAAACATGTTGCAATTATGTGGAATACTAGTTTTGATATTTTATTAATAAGCGAGCATCCCTGGAATGGAGTCTGAATAAAACACTTCAGAGCCAATCGGAATACAAGGAATATAAATTTATTTTATGTAACATTGATTAGTTTTGAAAATTCCCATTTTTACTGTTTTAATTCCATCTTTTATTTTTTAAAAAATCACTAAAAGGACACAACCCACAAAAATACAATCTGTATCTGCTCTATATTTACAGATAACTGGTCACTATTAAGGCACAGATTTAAAACTAACATTTTTATGTAGCAAGTCAAATATTTGTGCATAATATAACACTAAATACGGTACGCTGTACTGTCATATTCCCTTTGTGGAATCAAAATAAGTGAGAAATTTTTTTCCAGTGTGTTTTTTGTGAAGCCCTATTGAAAATAACGCTGTTAATGGGAAATTCTTCACTCTTGTGTAGATGATTTAAGCACTGCTCAGCAAAAGACCACATCGACTTAATACTGTAATAACTTCTGTTCCAAGAATAGTACTGTCTAGATACATACCATGTAGTTATGAAAAGCTAAAAATCTAAGAGTGTAAAATTTCTTTCAACGCTTTTAAGTTCAGGCAAAAGCAGCAAGGGGTTGCAAAAAATCCTGTACAAAGTGTTGCTAAATATTTATTCCATTAAAAATATTTTATAAAATTAATGCACTTGAATACAATTCCATTTTCCAACACTGGTCTTGAGAATGCAAACACTGAGATGACAGGTCATCCCTAAGCACATAAGTAGTCCATGAAAATGAAGCTATTTATGTGCTTAGAAGCAAGCACAAGTGTAAATACTTTCAGAATTAGAAGGTGTAGCTTCCACAAGGGTTTGCATGAAGCTGCTCTTGCCCGTGACGCACACCACAATTCTCATAGATATGTGGATATAGACTTTTGGCATTTAAGCAGAGTTAATTTTGCTGTGAATCACTGTGTGGAAGACTTATCCATTCTAATTTGTAGCACAATTTTAAAACCAGAGCAAGTTAACTGCTACTTTACCTACCGTGGAAGTCACCCAGCTATACACCATTAAGTAAATATGGCTGACACAAGTACTGAGCAGTCTCTTCTTGCTAAACACAGGCATTTTATCATTGCTCCATCATCTATGCCCTCAAGTAATAGCTTCTTGAAATTCCCTTTTTGTGTTCAAATGTTTCTCTACATCATTTTGTTTTCTCACCTTAAAAGAAATAATCATCCATGGAAAGTGTCACAACTATTTCTCACCCATTTTTGCATAAAAACCAACTACTGTAAATGTTATTCTAATGCCTTGCCTTCTTTTAAGAGCACTTGACAGTGGTTTATGTCCATCTCAAAAGGCTAATACACTGAACATAAATACATTACAGTAGAGGTAATTCACAATATTTCCTATGGGAATGCTTTTCAAAAAAAATAATGTTTGGAAACTTCATATTGCATTGCAGAAAGAGGCACTTCATGAATTCCTTCATTATATGAGAACCCTTCATAAACCCATAACAAAAAAAATCCGTAAGGACAGAGGAATAGTATTGCCAAATTTTTTGGACTTTCACAGTATAGGAATGCAATAGTTTCTCTATCCATTTATAATATGGACTCTTTCTGTTGAACATAACTTGTTTCAGAAATAGTTCATCTCAAGAGTTTTGCAGCTGACAATTACAAATCTAAATTGAACAAAACAGATGTTATTACACCTAGTTCTGCAGGTTGCTTAATTGCTGCATGCATAGTCATGTAAGTAATATACGTCATTTATTAAATGGCAACAGTGCTGTCTTGTCAAATTAGATTAGTTTTCTGTTTAATCAAACTGACAGCCCACAGCTCTAGTTTGATGAATGCCTTTCTTTCTCTACCATAAATCTGCAGTAGATCAGTTTAATCTGTTAGGTATTGTAGGTGTAGAATCTAAAAATAAAAGTCTGATATAAATAAGTGTCCTTCAGTGGCAGGATACTAAAAATAGCCCTTTGCTTTGAGACAACCATTAAAAACAGTTTTAGCATTACAGGCAGCAGTTAAATGATGACTGCAAAGGGTTAATATTGCAAGGTCCATTTTGGTCTTTCATTGCATCTGCTACAGTGAATTATTTTCATTGCAAGCAGCTCCAGACTGCTTAAGAGCATAATAGGATTGGTCCACTTTTAAGTGGTTTGATTTTGGAATAATCTTTCCAGATAACTACCAGGGAGGCAAAGAGAGAGGAGAGAAAGAGAAGAAATCTGCACAAGAATGCATAAGAATCAGTTACTAGTACCATTATAGTGAGATGCAACCTAAAGCAAGAACATCTGAAAGTTTTTAATTAGTGCTAATATAGCAATTGATATGGAAATGAAAGAGAAGTAAATTTCCACAGGACAAGAAATCAGAACATGTAAAGTGCAGAAAGACCTCAATAATTATCTTAAGCAGTACCAGAAAAATCCATCTCAATAAAACCAAAATCTCTGCTGTCTGGCATCCCAGCTTTTCATTCTTCCTTCATTCAACAAAGTAAAAATTCAGTGCATACATTATAGTTATGGGTAATAAAATACTAAACAAAGATCCCTATATTATTATTATTGCAAATTCTGTCCAATCTACATGAGTAAAACATAACCCACATTTGGTGTTTTGAAAGACAACAGCAAAATGTGTTTTCTCTTTTTGGCACAGTATTGTGCAGACAAAAACGCTTTGGTCCTTGATACCAAACTCCCAAAGTGCAGAGGGTGGTGTGCAGTGAAAGCTGTCCACAGGATTGCCATGTCCATCTTTACAGTTGACTTGGAGTCACAACTTACTGCTACCAGCGACCGCTGACGCTAGCAATGTCCGCGTGATACTGACGTGGCAGTCTCCCACTAGCTCCACCTTCCAGGAAGGAGGCACGGATGTTGGATGGGTCAAAGAGCTTTCTGCGGTTTTTATTCAGTTCTATAAAGGCCACAGGAGGAAAAGAAGAAAAGAAAAAGACACTCTTACCAGAAATTGTCTTTATTAAAGTGGTTTAGACACAGCTGAAAACATAGGGTAGATCAGCTGAAAACATAATCAAGGTACTCATTCAATATATAACACATCAGGATAGTGCAAGGTTAAACTTTATAGAGCCAATCTGGGAAGCAAGCTTCTATTTGCAACAATTCTTCCCCTGCACTGACATGCTATGCAGATTTTGCAATGCTGAGTTAAATCAGATTGCTGGAGCACTAAGAAAGCTGCAATTTCCTTCTGAAGTAGCATTTACACAAAAAATGGCTGCAAACTTGTATGCATCTATACTTAAACTATTTTCCAAAGACATATTGTTTTGAACACAACACTGAAGCAGTATTTTAACACAGATTTTTACAAAAAAGATGCTCACTTCTTATTCAAATCCACATCCTAAGTCTGTACAAATACTCATCCAAAACATTTTTCCTTTTGCCACTTTTCCAAACAAACTTGATGATGGATATGAATCACTGCAAGATTACAGGTTTTCATGAATGCTATTAAATAAGTATATTGTATGCTTTTCTTCTGTATGCCATCATTTAAAATTCATAAAAACATTCACAAATGACATCAGTAAAAGGGATGCACGTTGGAGGAAAAAAAAAAAAATCCTCATGTTCCATGAAGGATCTAAAGAAAACTGTACCTCCGACAGATTCATTCCAAGATAACAGCATACTCCTAAGTATACTATCTGTTGCTATTTATCACAACAGGGAAAAAGGTCTGTGTAGCTGCATAAACTACAGTACAATGTGAGAAACCTTATCTGGCCTTCTACAAGAAGGATACAAAACAAAATTTTACTTATAGAAGGCTGGAAGAAAAAAAGTCAGCCAAGAGTTACCTTTTTCATTCAAACCTAGACAAACCTAGAAAGAAAGGAAAACAGAGGGTCTTGGAAAAAGAACCCTGGCAGTTTTTATAGCCAGCACAACTGTTTTGCTACACAATAAAGTGAAAAGGAACCAAAAGCTTGAAAATGACAGCTCTTTGCAGCATGTTGTGCCATTCAGACTTGCACTGAGTCTGAAATCTCAGAACTTCTATGATCAGCAGTTTTGGGGCAAAAAAAGGCCAACTCTCTAATCTTCTGTAAAACACTTTCCAGCAAGTTTCAGCTTTACAACAGCATACAGTGTTATGCAGTGTAAAACCTCTCTAAAGGTCAAAGCTTTAGAAGTGCTTTGCAATGAAGGGCAAACCAATGATTTGTGGAACAAATTCTTACTCCAAATTCCTTTGTCAACTGTAAACTTACAACTCCAGTGAGGAGAAAATAAACATTGTTAAAAATTAACAAATAACCACCTGTTTGAATTTACTTATATTTACCTGAGATTGCAAGCAGCATTTTTCTTCTGGCACCAAATGTGGTAATTCCTAGCTCTTTCAAATCTTGATCAGTAAGAGTAAGGAATGTCTGCAGATCAATCTAGAGTGAAAAGAAATAGGATGTTTATACACAAATCACTCTCCAGAATGATTAAGCCATAAATATGAGGCAGGGCAGTCACAGTGTTTCTACTGCTTTCTACAGTTACTCTGCCAACCTATTCTCTGTACATAAGCCTTCCAATGACTACTAAGTGCACTCTGTATTCCAGATAAAGAAAAACAGGGAAAACCAAAGATTTAAAAAGTACAGAAGATCAACTAATGAGATCTTTTATCTTTTTGTGTGTTTTTGTTCCTAATGCAGTTCAAGGAAACATAGTGGAATTTTTTTTTTTTTTTTTTTAAACTTTGGCCAAACAGCTTGGTGCCTCACACTTAATTCTCATAAAGCATAAAAAATAAAAATCAGGGCACAAGAAAATACCAAAGAAGGTATACAAAAAGAGAAATTCATTAAAAACACACGAGGCTGGCAGCAGATTGAAGAGACACCAGCATAAATGAGATATGGAGTGCATCTCAATACTTGAATCCCTCGCACTGAACAGCACAACAGGATGTTAGCTTAACCCTTGCAGGGTTGCTGTTTGCATATCCTGCCCCAGTGGCAATCAGAGAAGTCCCTAGAGAACGGGGGCACAGCCTCGAGCAGCACAGGCTGCATTGCCGTCACACAGGTAAGACTGGCACCACCTTGAAACAAACCTACTTGTGTGCTTCAGCTGAAGGATGACAGTAAGCATGCCAAAACCTTAGCTTTGACTGAACATACACGTGCTATAACAGCAATTTCAATAGAGTGGACATGCATACAAAGAACCCTAACAGGCTTTCAAACAACAGCTGTGCTTAATGTTTAAAACCAGCACAGCTACCTCTTTCTTAGACCCAGTGGGTGGCTGAGATAACAGGAAAGGCCTAGCAGCTAGATAACATGAGCATTACAGAATACACAAGGCAGAGACCTAAGGGACTGTGCACAGCACTGGTGGAGCCACAGCTGGAGCTTTTCACCCAAACGAGTATTAACCTGCCACAGCATGGCCAGCTCCAGGCTAAGCTGCTCCACAGCTGTCAGCACTTTGCTTTCCACAGCAGTCACTAGCTCAGGTGTGGCCACTTTCTGAGCATTTTTATGCCATCTCAAACAGAAATGACAAATGGTTGTACAACACTAAAGACGTTGATCAGAAAGCCAAGAAAACCTGGTTGGAAACACACCAGATCCAGGAGCCCCAGGGCTGAGATGGCAGCTGGATGCTTTGGAAGATCTGCCAATGACCTAACTGAAGCGACTTCTATTGTACAGTATTTTAGGGGTATGAAGTACTTCTGCTTAGACTAAACGGAGATACAAACTTAGATGGTGAGGAGGTGGAATGGGGGAGCTCCCACAGATGACTATCTCCTCATTGGGAATGGATCAGAAGAAGTCCAGCCCGTTGGCAAACAAAAAGGCATGAAAGGGAGGAGAGGTGGGATGAACACGTGCACACCTGAGCGCCGAACCTGGGGGAAACATTATTGCAGGATGCAGACTATTCTTCCACACCTTCTAATGAACTTGACCAAAAAACAATTCCTAGATATCCCACAAATAGCAGCCCTGAGGTTTAAATTTCCTTGAATTAAATAATTTTGATATGTACTTAGAAAATTAAACAAAGCTTCAGGAATAAAAAGTACGCGTTTCTAGGCTAGCAATCTAGGAATTCACAAGACATATTTACACAGATCTGACAGAATAGCTCATGAAAATCCTGCTGCTAACAGTCTTGTTTTGTTTTGTTCAAAAAGCAGAACCATCACCATGAGTAAGACACACTACGAACACAAAGATATATTTTAAAATAATACTGACCTCTTGCTGTTGGAAAACATCTGTGTATTTGCCCAAACCAAGTTTGCTGAACAGCTCAGGCAGATCAGATCCCTTAAACAAGCTGTTCAGATTACAGCCATTGCTTCCTGTCAGCGAGGAAATGCAGTCCATGTAATTACTGCTACTGAGATAGTGTTCAGCTGAAAGGGGAAAAGCACACTTGAATTTTCAATCCATGTAATCACATCAATGTTATATTCAATTAAATCATTATATTACCACAGTACTTAAAACTTCAAAATACCTATTACTTAGCAGAAAACTCCTTTCATTGGTCTGACATCATGAAGAACAAAGTTAATCCTTTGCTTATTAAGTTGCAGTCTTTACAGAAAGATGTTTGGAGACACTTTTTAAGCAAGTAAGTCACATTACACAACCTCTCATGCAACTGGAACTCGGGATCTTGAACTCAGCACAAAGCCCTGCATTGCTGGTCCTCCTCTCTTGCCCTCCCCTCTTCTCCAGACAGTGCTTAAGGAACAACTCCTGCACACAGGAGGCAGGCAGCCCCCTTCGCTCTGGCTGGGGGAGAAGCAAGCCATGGCAATTCCTGATTGAAGGGCTGCAAAGCAGCCACATGATTTAGCAAGTACTTCAGCATGACACAAAGCACAAATACAATAGTTTTAGGGTAAATGATTAAATCCGGAAGTACTCTTTCTGTTAAACTTTTCAATACATTCCCCAAAAGGCACACATTAAAAAGCCTGCACACAAGAAAATGACAGTCGATTTAGGCAGGTAGGTTTTCCTCTCTACACAGACACTGACAGCACCCAAGCACGTCACTAGGGACTGATGTTCCCTGGCCAACACATCAGGGCTTTGTGCAGCCAGGGCTCTCCCTCACTAGTTACAAGCGTGGCAGGAGGGGCTGGCAGAAGACACAACAGTTGCTCAGTTGGACAGAATGGAGATGGCCCTGGAGGTTTATGCTACAGCTTTCATTATAGGCTGCTGAGAGGACGTTAAGAGCACAGTTTTTCACAAGTGACTAAGCTATGTTTATTTTCTGTGCATGAAGTATTAGAAGCATTTGGGATGTTACCTATCTTGTCTCTCCGTACTATTAACACTTCAGGATACAATATTCAGCCATTAATAGCTGAGCTTTTAAAGTGTGATTTTTTAAAGTAAGAAAACTTAAAAATATACCAACCATGAATATTTCCTCTAAGTGAAGCTATATCCTTTCTTAAGATGTCCAACTTTTACTATATGTTTATTTTGAAATTAAACTGGTATTTAGGTTTTATTCGCCTTGATAAGAAAAATGCAATAAAAAATAAAAAAGCCACAGTATGTCTTCCCTTACAATACAAGTCTACATTTATTATAGACAAATGTTTAGTCTTCTCCACCTTTTTCCCCCCTTTCCAGGGAGGAGAATTTTAGTTTTCAGTAACTTTAAATAATTTTCAACTAGTTTAACTGATGTAAAAAAATAAATTTATGAGTCTTAAGCTTTGTTAAAAAGATAATTATAATATTTCTGTGGATGCAGGTTGTAAATAAGTGATTCAAATCACGTTCTATCCACTGACAAACGCATGGAAAGATTTATCTTAATTACCATAAAGAAAATAATGCTTTAAAACTCAACATCAGCAAATTACAACTTCATCACCAGATGCTAGAGAGCCCAATAAAAACCTGGCTGTTTTTGCACTGATAAAAAGAGCAGAATGATGATTGTCTAGAATCAAGGTTTTGGTACTTCTGGTTTCAGTACAACTTGATGAACTCCTTCCAAGAATAGAAAGAGCTTTAAGCTACAGAATCTCTTCAATTTTTAAGTTCTTCATAAAAGTTTTTCTTCTGAACCAGTATTCTTATGTTGTTTTACAGTCTTACATATATTTTCACTGTTCAGTTAAAAAACACACCCTTATTTTATATGCACAGGTCATATAAATCCCTAATGATGTCAGGAAATATTGAAATTAAATTTGTTGATCTCATTAAAAAACAGTTCTCAAAAATCAACCTGATTTATTTTGTTTCCGTTTGGGACTGCCTATTGAGGACACAAAGTCATTGTGAGCCGTGGGTCCAAGCCCGTTGTGGTCTCTCCAGTTATCAGATTCACTGGCACTTCCCAGGTGCTCCCGACTGTTGGACCGTGAGAGAGACATTGATGAACCCTATAAGACACAAAATGTGTGCATGAAACTGAAATCTCATTGTGATACAAATATTTCACTTGAAGCAGCTCAGTTAAATCACGCAGCTTTCCAAGCTTTAAATGCTTGCAAACATTCTTTTGGCAGTTGGATCAGTAGTCAAATAATTGCCAACTATACACAAAAACAGCAAGTGTGCTTAAATCATAAGCAGTTTGTAAGTTTTATGCAGAAGTTGAAGACCCTTCAAATAAGTTGCTCAACGTATCTTTTTTCAAAAATGCTCTACGGTATCTAATTCCCACACAAGTTGTATATACAAGTTCTGTATGGAAGTAGTTTGTTTTCTACATCTCTTCAAGACAAAAAAATACTACAGAAATAATCTGAGGAAAATTGAATCAAGAGTATAAAAAAGAATCATGAATCATTTCTTCATTTGCTAAAGTTTCTTTTCTTACTCCTCTAAAGGCTTCATTATAATAAATCTCACTCTCATTATGAATCAATATTCCAAATTAAGGCAACAATTTTCCCTAAAAAGCTGCAGAGGACTATGGAATTTTGTGAAGATATACATCAAAAAGATTAACATTATTGATACCAAAACCACACATGAACTAAACATGACTGAAACAAGTTAATAATTTAACTCTACTTGCGTGCATCAAATTCCGATTAAAAAAAGACAAGTTTGGAAGTAGCAGTCTCTTCTATGGTTTTGAAAAATTAACAACATGGGAGAAAAAAGCCTAAGGCTCCTTGTCACTGTAAGATTCAAGAAGGGGTGAGCCAGAGTCAGTATGGAGTGGAGAAAAGAATGGATTCACTCCAAATCTGTTAAAGAGCAGCAGGTGGCAAGGTCTCTTCATTGTTTGATCAAGGCGATAACTAAAAGTTCCGAAACAAAAATAAGTCATTCAATATTCCTGGAAAACTGAATGCACACCAAAATATTAAAGTGAAGGTGAGATTCTCAGGGCCTTATTTCACAGGTTAGCTTCCTAAAGATGAGATTACAGTGGCAGAATTACATCCGTTCAAAGAACTCTCCTTCGGCACAGCACCTAGAAGTTCATCAAAAGCCACCATGTGGGGAGGAAGTGTGTCAGGACTGCCCAAGAACCAAAGCACAGAGTTGAAGACTGCTAAATAGAAGCAACAGGATAACAGGAACCCAGGATCTTTTATAGCTCATACCAAAAGGTGGAAGCAGGAGCACTGAAGCAATATCATTTTAGCGGAAAGAGCTAAGACTGGTCTGTACACGCACTGATGCCAGGGCACTAACACCAAGTGTTCCCACATAGGAGAACAGGGCTGCTTACAGACCTTCAGAAGAGGTCAGTGCATGACAATTTGGAGAAAACCCTGCCCAGCTTAATTTCTAGAGAGAAGAGTTTGTTGTAAAAACAAACACAAACAAAATCTGCTGGATTAGGTCTTCCCTCCCCACCAAGTTATTACTGCAAACTTTCTGCATGTGCCTGAGCCTATTACACATAACTAAATGATTCCAAAAGTTAACATGCATCAAGTGAGGAACATCAAGGCACATTTCATCATGATTTATCATGCCTTTTGCATTGATAAGTACATCCTAGAGAAGAAACTGTCTGAAGTTTTAGTGCTTAAGTACTATACCATTGACATCTGCTAGGTAGCACAAAAATCAGAAAAAGGTGTCTGTATGGAGCCAGGGAAGGTTAAAGCATGGAAATGCATTAAAAAGCACCTTCAGAACGCCTTTAAGAAGGAAATGTAAGTTCCCACAAAGTCCTCGTCACACCACTCCTTTTTCCATCACCGTATCACTATGCACTAGTCCACATTATATAGCTTTTTTTTTTTTGCACACACATGTATGTTTTAATTAGGTCAGATTTCCACTGTTTATCTACACTTACTGAATCATTTTATCCCTTAAGTTGTCAGCAGTTTGTTTAAATAAACATATATTCAGGAATAGACTTCTATAAACTTGAAGCATGATTTACAAAGTTAATATAATTCTGCATGCTGGGTTGAATGCATTCCATATGCCATCATAATTATAGAAGAAACATTTTTCAGAATAAACATGTTGAGTACCTCAAAAACAAGAGTAAACAACTGTATTATTTACTACAAATATATTTCAATTACAGTATGGCTTTGATATACCTCATATGTAGTTGTCATAGATGGTTTGTATGATACATGATTAGCTCTTCTTAGTTCCTTGATTGTTTCTGCAGGCATAGATTTTGAGAACCCCAATCCACTCCATGTATTTGTTGGAGTTCTCACTTCTGTTACAACTGGCTTCTTTAACATAGCTGCAAACATACAGGGCAAAACAGCAAGTGTCACTATTTAAAGGTAGGTGTTTTGTTTTTCTTGTGGGGTGGTAGTGTTTAACAGGCCCAAACCTATTAAAGTCCCATATCAATATCAAAATTAAACGTATCCCTGAAATCAAGAACAACTTTGCCAATAAGACAAACACCTTAATATTTCAACTTTATCTAAGTCATTTCAAATATAACAAGCATCTCTATTACATCAGTATTAGAAATAGTTTGGAATATGGGAAAGCCAATACACAAATGCTTCAATACTAGGTTTGATTAAAAAAGTTGTAAAACTAACATAAGAAAATTGAGTAGTGACACATACTAACAAACTTTTCATCAGTCTGTTTACCCACATACCTTTGGTTGCTAGTAGCTTCTTCTGTTCATAGTCAAATGCCTAAAAATTAAACAGGCAGAAGGTGGCTTAATTGCTATTCAAACTAAAGGTCATCTCAGTAATTAGTTCTTCTGAAAAACAAAGATTTTATATGCGGCCAATGAATCCATCTAGGAGAAAATGTGAAGCACTGCACAATAATGTGACAGTGGTCTATGAAATTCTCAGTTACTTAAAACACTTACTCAAATCTAGATAAAAAAGATTTTAAATAGCTATCTAGCTTCCATTTGAATGAAGTTATAGCAGCATTTAGATTCTGCATAGGCAGATTTTTGTAACACTTTTTCAAGCATGCTTTATCTTCCCACAGCATCTCTTAGAGCATCCAAAAGCTGTATAAATTAAAATAACAATATGCATCTTTGACAGCATTCGAGGCATTAGAGTTATTTTGAATATTTAAGGTTCAATTCCCTGTAGAATTATTTTCTGAAGAACAGACAAGTTTTGACAGAATTCAATAAAGCACCCATTAACACTACCTATGACACAATGGAAGATGTGAAGCTTAATCTTACCTGTTAAGTAACACTCAATTACTGGTAAAATTTGGAACATAAATTAGCAAAGTCTAAACAAACAAAATTACAAAAACTGCAGTACTTAAAGTAGTGAATTTAACACTTCAGGCTAAGCAGAGCACTGATAAGGAGAGGTCTGCAAAAGTTATGCTAGCACTGATAGAAGATCAGATCTACACTGAGAAGTTGGTGAATATAAAACTGTTTTTCTTCATGTGTTTTGGAGCACAGGTGAAGTGATACATTCTGCTTCTAAATAAAAAATTTTTTATGAAAAGATGCAACTGCGAAGGTCTTGCTGCATCACGTCATTAAAATACCTCAAAGCGTTTCAGCTTAATTTGCTTGTGTTGGGAGGAACGCATGAAGTTACCTTCGAGCAAAAGAACCACTTGGCTGAGAAATGCTTTTACTTCAACTGCAATGTCAGCGTAAGTCTCAGGTAACGGTCACCTCTGCCTTACCTAGCAACTTCATTTTGCAACAGCCAACTTGTGTGTGCGATTTGGGTGCCTTGAGCAGACCTACCTGCATGTTGACGTAGGAGGGCTGCGGCGCGAGGCGCGCGCGCTCCGAGTTCTGCTGGGCTGCCGCGGCGCGCTCCGCCGCGCGCTCGCTCCCGGGAGCCTTCTTGTCGGCCACGGGGCTCTCCGGAGCGCCCAGCTCTGCCTCCGAGAGCAGCCGCTCGGCGGTGCTGCGGGAGCAAGGCCAGCGTTAACACCAGGGCTTCGTTTTGCAAAGAGGCAAAATGTTCAAGGGGATTTTGATAATCAAACTTGACCCCTAAAAAAAACAAAGCCTGTACTGCCAAGATATATAATGAATCAAAAAAGCCTTTCCCTGGGGTTGGGGGAATGTTGATTATGTCCCGAATATCATAGCCTCAAATGTATATCATACACAACTCCCCTCTCAAATATATGAATATATGTGTTTGTATAAAAGCAAAAAACCTGTCCATGAGGAACTGTTCTTTAAGCAATCATTACAATAGAAAAAGTGAAAAAATACATTCAACAGAAATAGGTAACCAAGTTCCTTTGGGAAAGAAGAAAATTCAGCTTCTAGTAGGAAAGGAAAAACACCTCCCCTTTCAGTAAGTGTACAAGAGAGACAAGTTTCTTAGAATATACAAAGTTATGAAATGACAAAAGAGAAGGTATAACCTTAGAATATACAAAGTTATGAAATGACTAAAGAGAAGGTATAACAGTGTGATTTAAAATATCACTCCCTATATAATTCAGTTCTATGACTATCTAATGACTGAACCACTCACTCTACCTATGAACCATGTTAAGTAGTATTTTATGTTGAAAGTTCCATTAATTTATATTTGTCCATTTAACGTACTGTAAGTGAGAGTTTTTGGTGCCTTGCAACAGCTCCACTGTTTGCCTCTTAGCACAGGCTTGTTTGGAAGCGCTCATCATCTGCTTCAGGTCACTGGTGTTTGCTGAATGGGACGGACTTCTCGGCATGCCCACTTCTACAAAAGCATCATTGCAACCTACAAGGTGAAGAGCAGGAAGGGGATAGGAAAGGGAAGGAAAGTTTATATTCCAGCACACTTTCTATATGAATTATTATTCTAAAAGAAAACCTGCTGCCCCTCCCTTTAAAATTAGCCTAGCCTTCGGCAGGGGCTAGCTTGTCCAAAACTAAAAAGACAAGAAGATCATTTCACACACATACAGATCATCAATAATTCATGCAACACTTGCACTGCATTTTACAAGGATATTCTTATTTTTAAAGTAAAAGCCAGGTACTATCAAATATAAAGAATCACAATCAGGCGTGACCATTTCACATGATTTGCTTTGGTATCCTGCTTATTAAGTCCTGGAGAGCATTCAGATAGTCTTGAGGTGAAATAAAAGCTTCCATTCAAATGCTCCATTTTCTCTGATTTTTTTCCCAAATATCTATCCCTTTAACTGAGCAATGTACCTTTAAAGTCACAATTCAAGACGCCCACAAGCCCTACGGAACGGGCCTTTTCTTGCTAAAATCAGTGTGTGCCAGTACAGCTAAATGCAAGTTTGTTTACTTTATTTGACAGCAGATCTCTAAGACAGAGTGATACTCTCCTTCAACATAGCTGCACAACCAAAGCACAAATATGTGGTTTCAGAAACTGCATGCAGATTTCACGAACGCTTCCAAGCAAAAAAATAACATGTCAGCATCTTTCTTACCTTCTGCACTATTTGACTTGGCTGTTACTTGTTCAGAGGCACCATGAGTACTTGTCTGCCTTGATGGATCGCTGTGGCTTGTGCTCAACACATTTTCTCCCAGCGATGTGGCAGACAGTGCAGCATACTTGATATTTGATGTCTGAAATAATTGTTAAAAAAGTCACTGTAGTGTTTGGTATACTTAACGAAGTATTGAATAATTCTACTCTTGGGTATCTGTAGGACAGCAATCATCTCTGATCTAGAACAGGTTTTTTTTTTTTTTTTATGTTTCATTTTGGAAAACCTCCTATCCTATTTCTAACTTTAGTAGCTTTAAGAATCACTACTAATGCAACTAGGTTTTTCTTTCAAGATTTTTATAAGGTTCATTAGCAATAGACGTGGTTAACCAGAAACTGTCACTTACCTTGACGTGACCGTTTAAAGAAGGGGATCCTTTTTTATTCTCTGGCTGCAAGCCGTTGACATGAACTTCAACAGGAGTCAAGCCTGGTGGTGGTGAGGGAGTGTTCTGGCTGTAACTGGGCACTCCAGATAACAGAATACTAGTTAAAGTAGCTTGTGCAGTAGATGGTATCATTAGGTGTGGAATGGTAGAAAAACCTATGACAAAAGTTTTGTTTTACTTTTTTTTTT